AGATAAAACTGACAAACATATAAGATGAACAAATTAAAGCAGGATGTGTCAAGCACGTTCAAAAATGTTATTTTATCTGTTTAAAAACAAAAAAATATTTAAAGCAAATAGTTCTTTTTTTTACCTGCCCTCTGTACTGCTCTCCAGTCCCTCCACTTCAAGAATAGCCTCTCTCAGCTCCTCCCTGAGCCTCTGGATCTCCTGCATCAATACACCCTTCCTCCTGCGGATGTCTTCCAGCTCAGTGCGCTCCTCTGGGCTCAGGTCTACAGGGACTGCAGGGGGACAGAAGGAGAACGACTGCATCACTGCTGCTAATCTAAAATAAACAGGTCAGCTGAGTCCACACACAATTCAAGTCAAAAGCAGAGTTAAGTGGTGGGAGAAATATGTAAAATATGTGAATTATCATTCAAAGTCAAATGTTCTACATTGACTTAATTGTGATAATATTTTGTAAATTCAACATTTTTTCTTACATATATCCCAAAGTTCCTGTTTATTTAAATGACTGAAATATTTCTTTAGGTCTTGAGGTTGATTAAAAACAGAAATACAAAAGAAATTAAATAGATTACAATCACAACTTCTTCAACACTGCACCAATAATTTACTCCACTAAATACACAATAATGCAAACGTTTTAGTTAAAAACAACACAAAACCTGAGCACACTGAGGATTAATTTTGACAACCATAAAACAATTAAATTACCATCCTCAGTAATGTGATAAAGAAACCAGACAGGTTAGGCATGATTAATTAATGGTAAAATGCTGGTCGGTTAAAACACAAAAACCACAAAATTTTTCTTGCAACCCACTGGTTGTGCAAAGCAATCTGCCGTCCTGAAACTGGCTGTCAGCAGAAGGTGAATGAATTTGTGGGACCTATTTTGACAAGCACTACCTTCTATTTTTTTTTTTTTAAGGATGGACAAGCACTGCCTTCTATTCAAGTTGTGTTTGCTGTTTGTTTAGATGCATTTGTGTATTTAACAATGAAATAACACATATAACGCTTTCTAAAACCTAAAATGTCTTGACATTGATGCTTCTAAAATGGTCCTGTGCAGAATGTCAAAACACAGTTATTTCTCTGCTAAAACCTCTGTAACTTTGCTCTAGTTTACTTCAGCAGAATGAATCTTAGAAAAGGTAATGTCCACATGTTTTCCAATAGTTCTTAGCCTTATTTATTATATTTTTAAAAAATGGTTACATAATGTTAAATGCAAAATAAATAAATAAATGAAAAAGTTAAAAAAAACTTAAGGCGAGGGGAAAAATCCCAAAGTTTTCTATCTGTTGTTTGTTTTCACCACACTCCAAATGTATGATGTTAAATTTATATTTTATGTCAAATAAAATAAAACCTTAATAGCCTCAGATCTGTATTTGTTCATGTAAAGCCAGAAATTCAATCAAGCTGCAGTAAACACCAAATTTTGAATAAATTGGGATACTGTGCCAATAGTGATTTGTGAAAGTTTTTTTCTCAACTGAAATTGTTATTTTGAGTATAAACAGTGATATAACTAATTTAATGTGGTCAAATGAAAATAAAGTCTTGCAGGTGCAAAGATTCAACAGCAACACCACCTGCAGCTGGACCAGCCTCCACAGCATCTTTTAGCAGAATGCTGGACCACATTGTTTAATCGACAAAAACAGGAAAACAGCCAGACTCACAGCCCGGGCAGCAAAAAAAAAAAAAAAAAAAAAAAAAAAAAAAAAAAAAAAAAAAAAAAAAAAAAAGCATAATCTACAATATTTACATCCTGGCTACAGGATGGTTTAGTGAACAAGACATTCTTGTTAACTGAACAGCAGGTTGTCCACCGAGGTTAGCTGTAGACAAACCGTCCGATATATCAATGTTTAATGAGCTAAAATACGAAATTACTGCAGCGTATTTCAAACTATATACATAGTACAGCCTGTATAAATTCATTAGACATAATTCACTCGTGTTCAACATGAGCTGAATAACTCCACCTAAAGCTACAGAACTAGCCACGTTAGCTTCTCCAACAGTTAAAGTCCACTTACTGTAGTCCAGGTCATCCATTTTGGGCGCTTTACTTTTAGGCATAAATAGTTCAGAGTCGACGGTCATTAAATGTCAGAAATTTAGGGATATATTAGAAAATATATCCTCGAAATTAAAAGGAAAAATATAAACAACCCCCCGGGTGGTGCCGATACGCTGGGCCGTAGACAAAGAAGGTGGCAACACCGGAAGTAGGGTCTGACTTCAGACCGGTCCACTTCCGATCATTTATATGATCAACAAACACAACAGCGTGAATTTTAAATATGAGAAATACAGATGTTTTAAAGTAGAATAGAACACACACACACACACACACACACACACACACACACAC